TTGCTTTTCTTTGCTTTCCTTTGCTTTCCTATTGTTGTCCCTTGGCTGTCCCTTTGCTTTCCCTTGCTGTCCCTTGCTTTCCCTTGCTTTCCTTTGCTTTCCCTGGCTTTCCTTTGCTTTTCTTTGCTTTCCTTTGCTTTCCTATTGTTGTCCCTTGGCTGTCCCTTTGCTTTCCCTTGCTGTCCCTTGCTTTCCTTTGCTTTCCTTTGCTTTCCCTGGCTTTCCTTTTGTTTTGCATTGCTTTCCTTTGCTTTCCTTTTGTTTTGCTTTGCTTTCCTTTGCTTTCCTTTGCTTTCCTTTGCTTTTCATTGCTGTCCCTTGCTTTCCCTTGCTTTTCCTGGCCTTCCTTTTGTTTTCCTTTGCTTTCCCTGGCTTTCCTATTGTTGTCCCTTGGCTGTCCCTTTGCTTTCCCTGGCTTTCCTTGGCTTTCCTTTGCTTTCCTTTGCTTTCCCTTGCTTTCCTTTTAATTTCCTTTGCTTTCCTTTGCTTTCCCTTGCTGTCCCTTGCTTTCCTTTGCTTTCCCTTGCTGTCCCTTGCTGTCCCTTGCCTTCCTTTGCTTTCCTTTGATGTGCCTTGCTTTCCCTTGCTTTCCTTTGCTTTCCTTTGATGTGCCTTGCTTTCCTTTGCTTTCCTTTGCTTTCCTTTGCTTTCCCTTTGCTTTCCCTTGCTGCCCCTTGCTTTCCTTTGCTTTCTTTGCTTTCCTTTGCTTTCCTTTGCTTTCCTTTTGTTTTTCTTGGCTTTCCTTTGCTTTCCCTTGATGTCCCTTGAATTCGCTGTCTTTCCGCTTGCTCTCCGCTTGCTTTTCCTGTATTTGCCTTTGTTTCCCTTGCTTTCCCTTTCTTTCTCTTGCTTTCCCTTGCCTTTCCTTTATCCCCCATGCTGCCTTGGATCAGTGCAATCGCTTTCTGCTGGTTTGCAGATGCCAAGCCAGAATGGTTAGAGGATTCTGGCTTTCTGGCTTTCTTTCTTTCTTTCTTTCTTTCTTTCTTTCTTTCTTTCTTTCTTTTTGTAAAGGGGGGGGGTTTGCAGATTTCAGGCGAACAGAGTGGGGGGTGTGCATAGAACCGCCAGGGCCGCGGAGCCCGCGGCTTCCGCGCCCGGCGCCTGCTGCCGCGGCGGCTGCGAACCGAGGGCAGGGTGGTGTCTCGCCACGGGGAGGCAAGCACGGGGCACCAGGGCTTGGGCGAATGCCACTGGGGAACCTCAAAAAATGGCTCCAACTCAAGGTGGGTATGGGCCAAATTTAAGCCACTGGGTTTGTCTCATATCTCTTTTGGACGGTTTCCATTGGGTTTCCTTTCGGAACCAAACGAGCAAGTTTCCCCCCCTGAACAGAAAAAGAAAGCAAGTTTGGTGCATTTTGCTAAGGGATGTTAGGACTGTACCTTTTTGCAAGCTTTGTTGGGTTTGCCGTATTAAACCACTAAAAGTTAAACTTTCAGCTGGGGAGCAGAAAGCAACTGAGTTTTGGTTTTGGGCGAATGTTACTGGGGAACCTCAAAAATGGCTCCAGCTCATGTTGGGTCCAAATTAAAACAGGAAATGGGCTGCAGGTTTTGGTCTAAGTTTCAATTTACCAGGGCAAGGCAGTCTGGGTACGTATTTTTTGACCCACAGCCACGTAACTGATGACGAATCAAGGGCTCCCAACCACTGGGAGGGCCCGGAATGGGGGAGCCGCTCGGGAGTGGGGTTAATGGGAATGGACCCGCCAGGCTTCACGGATGTGAATTGGATTTGCCAAGCCGCATGGGAACCCGGGTGTCCCATGTACGAGGGGATCCGCAATCCAGGTTCATTTCTCCAGTGTCGACAGTACACCACAGGAAGTGGAACAATTCACTCCATGTGAGTAAGTGAAGCCGATGACGAACGCCAGATTAGGGAATTGTGTCATGTGGCTTTTACCCAACTAAATATTGGACGAATAGATCTCGACATCTAGTATGATATGTTGTCCGACATGTTGTACCAGTTGCGTTGGATGTGCTCAGACGCAGATCAACTTGATCAAGTGCTTCGATTGGGGTTTGAGACACGGGCCGGTTTGGCAGCCCTGACCCAGGCTCCGAAAATCCAAGGTTCTGGCCCATGCCAAGGGCCGTTGCAAGTGGTGTCTCAGTCAAAAAGGAGGGAAGGGTCCCAAAACGCTTTGTCTCAAAAACAGGGACACAGCGAGTTTCCTTGTGTCCCTTTAAAAACTTTCAGCTTTTCGGGTTGGACCATTGTAGCGGTAGACAGTTTGTTTGGACTTTTTTTGACCAGTCCTCTCAAGTGAGAAACCGCTGAAAAACAAAGTCGCCCAACCGGATTTTGTCTCAAAGAAATTGGAACCGCCCCTGGCAATGGTTTCCTTTTAGTTTCCCTATAGTAGAATCAACCCAGACAGATCTTGCATAGTGACAATGTTTGTGTTCAAATGACCAGCCTTCACGAATTTCACTCGCTGAGCGTCTGAATCCATGTTAGTGTTTCGACACATAGGAAAAGCAGTCGAGATGCTCCCTACCAGAGTTTCCTCCCAGCGGAACTTATGGCTTTGATCCAATGAGACACGGGCCCTAAATGCCACGCAGTGCAGTTATCTTCCCTGGGAGTGTTGTTCATGGGGGGCTTCCCATCCCAACATGGTGGTTTCCCTGCCTGGGGTGGCCTTGGTCATTTCCCCATCCGAATGGTGTGGGTCCAAACAGGGAGGGGACCCCCCGTCAATTTTGGCTGGTTTTCCTGTTGGTTTCCCTTGAAACCGGGATGCATCCTTTGGCGCCAGGTGACCGGCGCCTCAGAGGACGAGCTCGCCCAAGAGATGCTGCGGCAAGGCGGGGGCGATGTTTTTTCCCCAAGGCCTAGCATGCGTGACTTTTATGGCTTGCAACATGTTTGTGCCGGCACGGAAAGCGCAGCTGTTGCAATGTTGCGTGTCGTTTTTCTTGGCAGGCGGTTTTGGGAGGTTGCGCGTTCACGTCGCCGTGCCATTGCGATTTGCGTTGCCGGGATGGTGGGTTTGAGGTGTGTTGGTTGGAACGCAAGTGCAATTATTTGCTCGAGTATCATTTTTGCTGGCCCTGTTGTACGGCCAGCTCGTTTTGGTGAGCTGATTTTGTCAAAATCGGTCGGAATCATTCTGCCGCCACGGTCCCGTGCTATCATGCTGTCAGGGAATGCCTTTTGGGGTTGCACATTTCTGCATTCGGGTTCGTGGCCTCTATCAGTTTTATAATAAGATGGGAAAGGAAAGATGCCGGAGGTTTCTATAGCTCTATCACTTCCTCCGGCTCTCATCTCTTCATGCTTTTCTTTCCTCATTTTTCACCTTTGGATTCTTCGTTCACAGTCATTCCCAGCCTCTTCATCCATTCCCGACTCCAGAAGTCCCAACTCATCTTTACCTGCCATTGGGATTAACCCGTCAGGAAGGTGAACGGATGGCGGGGAACAGAGTCTCTTTCCTTTCTACCTCACACAGTTTGTCTGCTTTCCTTCCTTAGCTCCTCTCGTCTCTAAGATTGTAAGATCTAAAGGAAAAGGAAAGATTTTGAAAGTAATGAGAGATGGACCGGCTCGCTCGATAGTTTGAAAGATGAGAGACTTTGGGTGCCGGAAGGTCACATTCTTCTAATACTTTTTTTTTCTTCTCTCCATTTCTCACCTCTGGAATTATCTTAAGAATAATATAGGAGAGAAAAAAGGAGGTGAGAAATGATAAAGAGAAGAGGAAAGGGTTAGAACCCGGAAGTAATCTCATATTCTTTTTCCCATCATAATCCTTACCAATCAAAACGAAGGGATCCTATCTCTCAGCAACCAATATATTTCTATAGTAAAGAAAGTTGGGAAATGATGGTTGGTTTCTAGAGTTCCTATCATCTCATCTTCTCTCACTCACTTCCCTCGTTCCTTTTCTAATTTTTACTATTGGATGAGATGAAGGATAGTGCCCAGAGACAGCGCAAAGCGGAGGAAGGAGTGTTGACGGATGAATATCTTAGCTTAATATCAGGATTTCCCTTCCAGACGGTATACGGCTCAAATCTACATCCGTCCTCCACACTCATCCATTGGCTGGCGGCGGCCGTGGGAAGGTTGGTCCACAAGCGGATGATAATGGCTGTAAGCTTTGGAAGCCTTACATTTCCTTCATTCATCATTCCTGCTCACGAACGAAGCGAGGCCGGATGGATGAGAAATGAAGAAGTGAAGAGAGGAGCTTCCCCATCCGCTGGCCAGTTCTTTCCAGCGGCTACAAATGAAATCCTCTTCCTTCATCTCTCGCTACCCCCAGCAAACCTCAGATTGAAGATAGATGAAGGAAGATAATCTTATCTGTTTAATTATATTGCTTATCTTCATTGCATCTCGCTTTATCTAATATCTCTCTCTCTCTCTCTCTCTCTCTCTCTCTCTCTCTCTCTCTCTCTCTCTCTCTCTCTTCGTCCTGTTCTCTCGTTCGGGCATGATCTGGAGATGTTTATGGCCTTCGTTTTCCCAATCCATGCATTCACCTATTTCGGGGAAAGCTAAAGGAAAGCTGGCCATGGTTAATAAGATTGCATGGATGCCAAGATGGCAGCATGATAAAGGGCTAGCGGAGGATGGTGGTGAACAGTTGTCACCTGGCATCTAATCCTTCCTGCTTCTCCAATATATTTCCTGATATTAACGAACATGTAAAGAGAAAGGAGATAGAGAAATAGAAATGCTTACAACCAAGCCATCCAAGCCCTTCTCTTCACTCACTTCTTTCGCTCGCTTGTCAAGGAATGTTGGTTGGTGAAGTAATTCCAGATAGTAAACTACTATGTTTATGTCAAAGGCTGTTGTCACGAACAGCTTGTACGACAGCGAGTGAATGGGTATGCTTCAAACAAGGGTACCCTTTCAAAGCCTTTGGCAAAAGGAAAGATGAACAAACGCCCGTAGAACTCTAGTGATGTCTAAGCCATAGCCAAATGCACGAACCCTGAGTTTCAAGCTGCAGATCCTTGGCGGTTTCTCGCGCCATGAAAAAGCCAGCTGCGAAAGCGGTGCTAAAGAAGGCGAAGGCGAAGGCTACGGCGACCAATGTTAGCTGGATGAAGCTGGTGCCAGATCTACACTTTGACAAAGAGCATCAGTTTGACTGGGACCGTGTCCACTTCCGTGGCCATGATGCCTATGGTGGTGGAAAGGATGGTACCGGTGATGAAGATTTGTGGATGAAAGCTGATCTTCACTTTGGCTCTTTCCAGATGCCACAGAAGTGTACCAAATCCAAGAAGAAGAGGAGCAAGCCCTCGAAAAGCGTGTACTGGAAGTTGAAACCAAATGAGGGTGTTGAGTTCCAGGAGTGTGGACTTTCGGTGAAGGCGATGAAGCTGAAGAAAGCCCTCAAAGAGCTTGACTCCTTCGTGAAGATTAAGCCGCAAGATTTGGATCAACGCTGCCGCTACTCTATCCTCGACCTTCGCAAAAGCCTGGAACAATCCACGAGGCTTTGCGGGGAGTTCGGAGCAACTGCTTCCCAGATCAAGAGCGACCTGGACACCGAGAAGCACAGGATGTGCACGGTGATGCTGCAGAGATCCTACAACGAGCAGCGCAGTGGATATATATGGGGCGAAGAGAATCCGAAGCAGCAAGTTGAAGATCTCCAGGCTCAACAGAGAAAGGCCAAGGATCCACAAGAGCATGTCTCAATCCGAAGGAAGATCAAGGAGCTGAAAGAAGACTGGAGGACAGATTGCAGCAATAGCTGCTTTCGACGGCATGATGTCTTCTGCCTCTACCTTGCAAAGCCAAATGCTAAGAAGGCCTTCGCCAGAGTGACATGTTCCATCAAGATCTTCCGAGAGTGCAGTGTGGTGGACCCGTTTACTGGCAAGCTCACCTGCTGTTGAGAGGAAAAATGACTGGATCAAGTCGGCTTGCTATCATTCTGTCAGCATAGGTTCCCATTAGAGGTTGTGAGATGCCTTCCCCCGATCGAAAGGCTGCAGAGGTTGCCTTCCATTTTTCCACTTGCCCATTTGCTATGAGTTTCCAAGCCGGCTGGAGCAGGTTCGAATCATTTGCCTATGTGCCCAACCGAAACATCTGGAGCACCGGCATCTCGAGGTCAGAGCCTCTTCGCTCGCCCAGTCGGTGTCTGTCGAGCGAAGCTTTGTGCCCGGGGGGTGATCCAACGAGAGTTCCCCAAAGCTCCGCTGCCCGAAGCGCGTTTTCCAGGGGTCTCCATGCCCAGCTGAGGCCCATTCAACTCTCCCAGCGCGGGCCTGCCTCAACGCCTCAATATAGGGATGGTTTCCATCAAAACGACACCCGCCGAAGGGATTTATCCGGGACTCCCCCAAAGGGTCTTTACTTTAAACTTTTAACGCATACCCAAAGGGTCCCTTCACCCATTCACCCCCCCAAAGTTCAAAGGCAGCAAGGGTTTTGGGGGTTTAGGGATTTTCTCAAAATGGATTTCGAACCCATAAGCCAAAGGGACACCCCTGCCATGTTAGTTGACACGGAAATCTCCAGTGGTTGAAGCAGGTGCAACCAAGGATCGGCCACTCAAATGAGGTCCGTCCCTCCGAAGGAATGGGTTTCCAGGGCCTCACCACACCGCACGATGCTCGCAGGGCCGTGCTGGCTGGTGCTGCCGGGGCCCTGCGCCCGCCTCACGCGGCGGAGGGTCCGAGACTTGGCGCAGGAGATCCAGGCGCGAGCCGAAAGGATCCGAAAAGGATGGGGCGCCGCTCGAGTGAGGAGTTCATGGCATTTTTTGTTGGGGAGTGATCGTTTTTTGTTTTTTTGGTAGGGGGGGGTTCTTTCTTTTCTTGTGTCTTGTTCTTGGCGTTGGGCTCCGTGCAGCAGTTCCTCTTTGTTGTTCATTGGTAGGATGGTTGCTTGGTGGGTTGGCGGGTTGGCGGGTTGGTTAGTTGGTTGGTTGGTGGGTTGGTGGGTTGGTGGGTTGGTGGGCTGGTGGGTGGGTGAGTTGGTGGGTTGGCTGGCTGTTTTCTTGCTTGGTTCCATGGTTGCAAGTAGCTTCGCACAGCAATTCAAAGCCATTTTGAACCACTTTCAGACCCCATCCAGGTGGTTGGTATGTTTTTGCATTCCCTTCAATCAGCGCACTTCAAAAACGGGGTTTCCCTATTTTGAGTCAACCCCAAATCGGCTTTTTGTCCATCGCAACCCTGGAAGCTAATCCATCAGCAGGCGTACACGACCCAAAATGGTCCCCACGCCAACCCCAGACCCATCCGAAGAGATTGCTCCAAGCGCTTTCAGCCAGCACGGCCTCCAAACTCAAGCCTGCATTGGATCTTTCGCTGGCGGATGGGACCGGTGCCATCGGCATCCTCTCTTAAAACGCACCAAATCGGTACGTGTAGAAATCCTAGGAGCTCCCAGGTCTAATGTGTTATGCTCTGAGACGCAATCAATCCCCTGTCTTCTTCGGGCAATTCATACGGCGAGGGGGTTGTGACTTCACCCATGAAGGTTCTTTTCATAACGACCCCTTCGAGTTTGTGAGTCATGATGCACCCATATTTTCCTTCGCACTCCTGATCGTCTTGATCTGAACACTGAGAGCTGAACGCCCTCTGCTGGTTTCGTGTCAGGTGTCTTGGAAGCTGCTTGTCCAGGCAGGGCCTTCCGGTCCGGGGCGAAGGGGGCGGACTTGAAGGATAGGGTCCCGACGGACAGGTTGTGGCCCTTTTTGGACATCAGAGTTTGAAGCGTTTGTCGGAATACCTGAGCTAAAGCGGGGCTGGGGTTACTTCTTTTTGCGACGTTTTGACAGCTGCTTGCTTGTTTCATGGGTGAAGTATGTGTCAATATCAGGGGATCTCCCCAAATGCGCAGCAAGTCATGTTCCATGTGCCGCCTTCTGATGCTCCCAGGGGTCTTGGCGGGTCTCCACGCGATTCCAAACTTCAGGGAGCTGACCTTCCAAGCTCCGCTCGCTTTAGTTCCGTCCAAACAGCTGGATTGCTGTTTTCCTGCGGGGATGCTGCAACACTTGTCTCGGGATATGCCCAAGTTGTTTGGGCAACTAAGATGCGTGGCTTAGGCGCGCGCGGTGCATCCACATCATGCCCCTATGTGGCAATGGACTATTTGGGACAGCCTCCTTGAAAGTGATTTGCTTGAGAGGTTTTGTTTGTCAGATGTGTGTCGGCTCCCGATTTGAAGACACACTATAGGTGGAATGGTGTGAGTTGCAGGGCGAATTTATCCCTAACAGTGCATGTAGGGAACAAGGAGCCCCCTGACATGTGCCTTGATTTTGGGTTTGGTCACTTGAATTCTCTGAGGATCTGGGCAAATGTCCACGGGGATTAAACAAGCTCATGGTGAAGGTCCTGTAATAAGGGGGCTCCTTGTTTTTCGGGTTTGTGAATCAGAATCCTACCACATCTTGGCACAATTATGACCTCTACTTGCAGGGGGGGGTTGCTCCGTTGCCAATCAAGGTTTCTTTCGCAGCGATCCATTTCACATTTTTGTTTCGCTGCCCAGAAGCCTTCGCCAGGCAACCCTTAGTTGGTGTGGGGGTAAATGGGAAACGGCCCCCTAACACACCAAACCCGAATCCAACCCAATCGGAGGGGAGCGGATATCAGGCTCCCGGCAAAAGCCTCCCTGCCCTTGCCTTCAGGTGTTCCGGCGGCCAGGCGCGGCGAGGGTGATCGCTGGTCGTGCTCGGCTCGGGCTCCGGCTCAAATGGACGCGGAAGAAAAAACGGGGGTGTCCTCTAAAAGGGAGAAGGCGATTCCTCCGAAGAGAAGGTTTCGGTGCGTCCCATGCTGATCTGTTTGGAGTAGCTTCAGCAACCTGGTTTGAGTGAGCATAGTGAAGGCCTATTTAAATCTCTGGAACCATCCAACCCAACACACCATGAGTCTCAGGCGGCAAGAAAGGCAGATCCCCCTTCTGCCAGCCGTTCACTTTGCGGCGGGAGACACTTTGGGGTGAAGCCATTTTGGGGTCAGAAGACATGTGAGGGACTTGTCTTGGGAAACAAGGTGCGAGGCTAGGGTTCCTTCCATCATATCAATCGGGGATGAGATGAGCGGCCGTGCGAATGAAGCTGGTCTGGGAGGGTTTTAGGCTTCGGGATATATGCCTTGCTCGCAATCAAGACAGAAACTGATCCTGGGGTGATGTGGCTGTGACTTGCAACAGGCTTGGCAGCCGGATTTCCCTACTCGCTTTCTCACTTGCTTCGCTGCAGCTTTGTGGGAAGTAGACGAGTTTTCGTTTCAGGACAGTGGTGCTTCCAATTTTGGTATGGGGTCGGGTCTGACACAACACAACTCCAGAGCGGCAGGTGGCGCGAATGCTTTGTACCAAACAAAGCCTCCGCTGCTCAGAAGTAGCTTGTAGAAGGTATGGATATGGGTCAAAATTAAACCACCAGGGGACCCCAGGTTTTAGTCCATGTTTCCATTTACCAGGGTTCCATTTTGGGTACCTATTTTTGATCCGCAGCCATATAGGTCTGATGTGAGTCTAGACGTATGGGCGCGTCCCAAAATAGAGGAGCGCCACAAACAGTTGGTTTGGTGTTGTTTTCCTTCTTGCTGGGTGCGACTATTTTTTCCCCAACAGGAAACCCGAAATCGTTGTCTGATTGCCCCTCTTCGCATTGAAGCACCCATGTTCGCAACAAACCCAATTGCCCACTTGACCAGGCGACGAGGCTTTGGGTGAGGAGGACCTGGGCTGGTCATGGCTGACTTAGGAGACCGCTGGGTCCCAGCTATAGTAGATACACGTGGGTGGCTTGTTCTTTTTTTGTTCCATTTTGGGGGTCCCCTGAGAAGAAGGCACACCCACTTGGGTGAAAGTAGATGGCGTACTTCCACCCCGCTTTTGTCATTCGTCATTCTTCTTTCCGACGTTTATAAAGGGAATGGTGACGTTTGCTTTCACTCTGCTGTAAATCCAGCAGATGTCCGTTTTCAGGGGAAGGCGAACACGCGCCTCGCATTTGTTATCCCCCCCGGCCTTAGGCTTGTTTTTTTTTTTTGGGGGGGGGTTACCCTCGAAACTTCACGCTGGAAACCGGGGGACCTTTAACAAGGAGATATTCCGATCTCAGATGATTTTCCAGAGGAGGAGGCCCAGTTCAGAGCGCATCCTTCAACATGGCGGAGGGGGGTAGAGGGACTGGTGACGCTGGAACTCGGGCTGTCCAGGTGCAATATTCGAAGTTGCCCGTTGGTGGCCGGATCTTGCTGTTGGTCTCCAAGGTAGCTTTTGCTCCCCTCAAAGCGGATGTTTTCCTTGGGACGCTGCTTCACCCCACCTTTTTGCATCGAGTTGCTTCCCCTTCGCTCAGCTTTTCCAACCCGCGCCGCTGCGCACCCTGGGCCGCGGCGTTCGGCTTTCTTCTCCCTGGGTTGGATAGATGGCAATATGGGTGTGTCCTTCTCCAGGAGAACCATGTATAGATACACAAATGCATTGGCGGCTTCTTTTGGTTTCACTCAAAGGGGGTACCCTCAAAAAGCAACACATCCATACGCGGGCAAAGGACCCTTCTGTATGATGCTCAAAGGCGACCCAGAAGGACAACCCCTGCATGTTAGATGCATGTTAGGACGCACCCATATTTGTGCAGATGAAAACATTGTATGCTCATGACATGTAGATTGTTTGATGCAGGCTGTGTCCGTCATTGTGCGCGGTGGATGGGCATACTTATAGCTGATTGATGATGGGATTTTCTACATTGGGTATCAGCCAGGGTACCCCCCAGAATGTTAGAAATGCTATTTATCATTTTGGCATCCCCTCAGACCGGTCAGCTAAACCATGGAGCCTCGCAATTTTTCTTGATCTTGTAGCAACTGTTCATCTCAGGATTTTTTTTCTGAGGCACACCTGGTTACTCTATGTCCCTCTATCACGGATCTATGATATATGGCTTTGAATTTTACCAGGAAGCCACGTCAAAGGCGGATGGACATGAATCTCCAGCCGTATCGCTCATGCTTGGGAAAGTACTGATGAGGACTTTGTTTGGGCTGCCCAAGTCACGCGTGGGCGCCCGGGCTGTGGCGATGTATGGACAGCTTCGGGGGACAGGTTTCTCTGCGATCCTTTGGTCGGATGGAAGGAATGCATTTTGTTTGGGGAGACACATATGAGCAACGGTCAACATATACTGGGTCATCTGCGGAAGCAAAGGGGACGACATGGCGCACTCACCAAAATTCCTTTAGGACGTCGCCAAAATCCCATGTCAAAGAAAAACGCAATGAATGACTGCGGCTCACATGTCCACCGTGTTCCCCCACCTTTGTGTTAACCAACAAGCGATCTCCGAGCCGAGCGGCATTTCTTACAGCGGTTTCCAGGTCCGAGATCCCGGAAAGGACACCTGGGCATGTCCTTCTTTGAGGGTACCGAAGGCCACCCAAAGGAGAACAGCCACTTGGGGGGGGTCCCCTCAAAACACGACATGCCCAGCCGGGATTTTGGTTTTCTCCGGGAGTTTTTTTTCGGCCAATCTCTAGGCCGGCGCTCTTCTGCTTCGAGGGCGGCCTGGTGGTGGAAGGACCCGGCGTTGCGCGGGGACATGTTTATTTGGGGGAAGGGAAACCGCGGGGGGTTTTGCGGGGCCCCAAAGTTTGAGGAACACCCATACTGTGGATGGACGAAATCCTGCACCAAATTAAAACCATGGGAAACCATTGTTTGTTGGTATTTACAAAGGAATTAGGGGTCCTCGTTTTGAGGTACTCATTTGGTTGAAATATGGTTTCAAGCTGGCAGGAAGGCCACTCAGGTCACTGGGCTGGGAAAGGGCCAACTAAACGCGACCAGACCTTAAAGAGGCTAAGCGGATGGAGCTTGGCAGTTGAGGGCCCCTACAGTTGATCTCGCAAATACTGCAACTAAACCAACCCCTTCCAACCAGAAAGCTGGCGATTTCACGGCGTCCCTTGTTCTTAGTGGTGATTTTTTGCGCATCCACTCCATGTTTGGTATTAGCTTCAGTAGACAGTCATTTTGAGTAGTTCTTAATATCAGACATATTAGCTCAAGTAGACGGTCATTTTGAGTTTAAGCAAACATCCTTGAGAGTTCAAGCCACCGTTGTGAGGATTTTACACAACAATGATAAGACGGAATTTAAACAAACCATAGTCAAGAGCCGGGTAGGTCAGGGTTGGTGGGGCACAGCCCCGGTCACAACATTGAGCGCGTAGCAAGCTGAGCCTTTTTGTTTGTGCTCGTTGTTCCGTCGCTTGACCTAACCCAGCCAGGGGGCTTGTTTCTTGTCTTTATAAGCACCCGGAACCAAAACCATTTTAGTAGCAGGTTGTACGGCTCATTGGCCTTTGTAAGGCCAACTGGCCAACTTTTCTTGGCAGCACCCCAAGGCGATGGGATCTTGGCGCTCGCCGGGATGGGATCTTGGCGCTCGCCGGTTTGCCGTTTCCGCGAGTCCTGGCGAAACAGGAAGTTTTGGGGCCAGCATGGGCGTGTCTTAGAATCAGGGACCCCCAAAATCTGTGGTTTCGCCAGACACAGCCACAGGGGTGTTTCTCAAAATTAGGGGCCAACTCCTCCCAGCATGATTGGGGGAGCTGCCCCCACAGGATCCAGAGATCCAATGCTGCGAATTCGAGGATCCGGGCGAGTGCTGGGCCAGAAGACTTCTGCGCCGCTCCCCCGACTCTTCGCCGCCGGAGAGGCTGGCGTTTACCCGGTGGTTTGGTCGATTGGGGGGAGGTGCGGCGTGGAAAAAACCGGAGATTTGGACGTGCCCGTGTTTTGGTGGAATATATATATATATATATGTATGTACATATATATATATATATATATATATATATCAGGTTATATACCCTTTGTTGGTGGTTTGGATTGGTGGTGTGGAAATTTGAAGCCCAGCATCTTTACAACCAAACCACTAAACCAAACCACCAACAGGGGAAGCTTCTTTTGGTTGATGTTTAAAAGGATGCGAGAAGGAACCAAAGCATTTGGGGGGGCTGGATTTAGACATTTGGGATGAACGAGGTTCTCCAAATTGAGGGCTGTCCCAAACAAGGGCGCCCCGCCTTTGCCCACGGCAGTGGGCCGAACTTCGTGGGCTGCGTTTGACCTTCTTTCCTGTTTGCCCTTCAGCTCCCCACATCTGGCTGTTCGACGTAGCCGTTTCCAACATTGAAAAACAACTCGCCCCAGGTTGTCCCGAGGAACCGGCGGTATGTGTTTTGCGCTTTACTGGGGGAGGCCGCCCCTGTCAGCTTTTTGTTTTTCTTCTCAGAAACTGCTACCTGGGAGCCCTTTTGCCTTTTTCCAAGTGGTTTCTATTGGCTCTCCGGGGTTTTTAGCGGATTTCAACAAGTCGATCCAATGCTTCGAGGCCGCGGCCGTGCCGGGGAAGTCCCTGCTGCGCTGCGCGCTTCGGCGGATTGGTTGGAAGTCCCATGGAGGTGTGGACAGGGATCCCGAGGGATTGCCTGACTTCCGGATTTCCTGGACTTCATACTTTTTTGGGAAGTTGGGAAGACCAATTTTTCGGGCAAAACAGCAAGTTTAGACTTGTTGTCGGCCAATCCACTCAGGAATCGAGTTTGCCTCTTTGATGGTTTTAAAGGAGGGATCCCAAGTGCTTTCCCTTCTTGGTGGAGCTTTTGTTTACTGATGTTTTATGGGGAAACGCGGACTGTGGGTGTGCCTTTCAAGGTGCGGTCGCCATGTTCGGAGTCCATACCCAAGTGGTTCCTCCTATCGATCAGTGTGGATGAACAAAGATAGAACCAAACTGGTTGCTGTTAATTTCTACCTACCAGGAGACATCCATCCATTCCCAAAAAAGACACTTGGTATGTGGCAAAACCCAAGTCTTCAGTCCAGAAGTCAGCATTCAAAGTGGAAGGCTGTTTGGGCAAATGAAGCCCCAGTGAGATTTGATCTCGCTTCGGTTTCTCTTTGAAATTGAAGGGGCCAACAGCAACAGCCAAAGCTCAGGTTTGGGTGATCACTGACTCAGACCTCTCGGCTTGGCGTCGATGCGTTTCCATCCGCTGCAACTGGAGACCCTTGCGCTCGGTTCCGAGGTGGCTTCAGCTCTCGCCGCGGCCTGCGGCGCGGGCCAGGCGCGAAGATGTGAAACTCAGCCAGGGATCCCGTGAGCGGTTTGTGCCATGGGTATGGGTCAAAATGAAACCACCGGGGAACCGCAGGTTTTAGTCCTTGTATCCATTTTACCAGGGTTCCATTTTGGGTACCTTTGTTGACCCACTCCAAGATGTACGTGTCCCGACGCCTTCTGCAAGAGCATGCCTTTGAACATAGTTGAGAAGCTTTAGGTTTAGCTGCACGCTTGCACGGGGATGCAAAAGTCAGCATCCGCAAGTTGATCACAGAAACCTCCAACGATCAACGTCCCTGCTTTTCCTTTCAAGCTATCAGCAACTTAGCAACACTGTGGGCAAGTGGCTTGTTGAGAGTTGATCCCCCAGAGCCCTCAGTCTTTGTTTTCCTGTTGGTCAAATCATAGCTTCTAGTGTTTGAGCACCTCTTTGTGACTCGACCTGCTTTTGGTTTGTAAAGGACCAAATGTTGCCACCAACCTTGATTTGGGGTCCAAGCCTGAGTCAGCATCTCCCTTTTTTCCTGGTAAATTGTTCGCTAGGGCGTGTGATGGCCTGTTGGCCTATGGCCCTTGCCCCATGGCCACCCGGCGCCGGGCGGCCGCGCTGCTTCTGCCCCTGGCGTGGCTTCTCGGCGCAAACCGCGGCGCGGCCTTCGCCTCGCTGGACCCACGGCAGATCACGCGGCGCATCGTGGAGGCGCGAAGTGCGGGGGAGGTGCTGAGCCGGGTGCAGGAGGAGAAGCGCGGCTGATTTTGGTTCAAAGGGCATGAGCCGCTCGTAAGTGAAGGTAACCGTCCCAACCATAGGTGCGGACTTTGGGTGTGGGGTAAAGGGGTAGCTATGAGCTCACAGGTGTCCTTTTTGGTTGGTCTGGTTTACCTGGTGGTTCAATCAAACCCGTGTAAGTGAAGCTGGGTAACGGTCCCAACCCGCCCATGAAATTCTAGCAGGTTTTGAAACTCTACCAGGATGGGGTTTCTCTTGCGGCTTCGGAGCAGGAGTTTTCGTCTCTTCGTTGAATCGTATCTTTCTCTTAGCCGGGTTCGCCGAACTCAGCACGAGAAGCGCCACCGGGTGGAGCATTTCTCGTCTTTTCCAGCCGCCCCAAGGAAGGACAACCCGCGGCTGGGCTTCATCGCCCTGTCCGCGGCCTGGTCCAGGCCTGGGACGGGCAGTGTGGGGCAAGTTTTGGTCCAGGGGGTTCTGCTCATGGGCGTGGAAAAACCAGCTTCTTGGGGCCACATTCAGTGATATCATTTGTTGGCCCATGGCCCAAAACAACGCAGTTCTGCTACTTTTGCTGCGGGGGCCTTTTTTGAAAAGGGCGGATTGTTAGCGACCTGGCTTCAGGGTACTTTGAGGCCGTGACTAAGGCCTTCCAACAGCATCAGCTTGTTTGGAGGCACTCCGTTTGGCAAAAAACGTACCCTGTTACGTGTAGGAGCCAAAACGAGCTGCTTTTAATCGGCGTTTCATCCAGGCGGTTTGCTCAACCAGGCACGAACCTACAGAATAAGCCCCAGGAGAATCCCCAGCCACAGAAGCTCCGCTACCTCCCGAAACACCAAAATGAAGCCACCCAATTTTTGGAACTTCCGAAATGGGAGTTTCTCAAAAAGGGTGGACCTGCTTTTGCTTGGAGTTTACAGGGACACCAAAAGGAAGGCAAGCATTCAAAAAGACCCAGGCCGTTTTTGAGAGACCCCCATTTCCCATGTTGGCTCATTTTGTTTCCATTTAACATCCCAACCAGCAGGGGGTCAACATAAATCCCATTTTCAGAAACCACAACACAGACCCCCGCGCCTGGGCGCAGAGGATGGCCAAGATGCGGATCCTGGCCTCTGACCCGGCGCTGCGGAACCCCTTCCTGCCGGACTTGGTCGCCTTGACGCGCTCCGCCCTGCGGCGGGCCGCGTCGGAGGCCGCGGCAAACCCGGGGAACCTGACGGGGTTGCTGGAAGACCAGGTTCCTTGAACAGAACATTCGCCTTCGAGCCCATGTTTGTGGACTAAAGGATACTAGTTTTCTGCTCAAAGCACCCCGAACCCCATTCCACCATGTGGGCCCTTCTATTGGTGTAGCGGCCGAGGTTTTTTTTTTTGTGAAAATAAGGAGCCCCGCAGAAATGCTTGCTTTCCTTCGCTACATGTCCGCCTCTGCATGTGCGGGGGTCGGGCAACGCAAGTGAGCGTGGCATTCCAGTTTTTGGTTTCCCGTTTCCCCTCAAACCAATTTAAAGGGGCTCTTTTTCTTGTGACACTTCGGGTCTATTCTCGAACCACTTTCCTTCATGGCATTGGTGTTTGGGGGTTTTGGCTTAGACTCTAAGTCTCCATGGCCCCTACCCCCCCACAACCCCACAACCCTCGCAACCCCCCCACAACCCCCACAACTCCCACAACCCTCACAACCCCCGCAATCTCCACCCCCCCTTTTCGGGAGGCGAAGAATGCGCGGGGCGTGGCGAACATCTTCTGGGCCGCTGCGAAGCTTCGGGCGCTGCGACCGCAGCTGGCGCCGCTGCAACCTGCGCTGATGGCTGCAGCCAGAAAGGCGGCGCCCCACATGGACGCCCAGCAGGTGAGCCGCAATCAACACCCGGGTACATGAAGGTTAGTAAGGGGGCAATCCCAGCCATAAATAGCTGTGGCCGCCTTTCTAATTCTGTACATGGTTCTGGGTTCACCATTTTTGTAGCAGGTTTTGATTGTGACTCAGGTGACGTCGGAAGCCAAAAGAACGGGGTCACCGAGAACACGGAGCCGAACAACGAGTTGTTGTTTCAACAGGTTCCTGGCAAAAGGATTGATTTGTTCTTTTTTTGGGGTTTTCCATGGCTTGCAGTGGAGGCTAGGGCAGGTTCTGGGTTTGGGCTTGTCAGGTGGCCAACACCATCTGGGGCACAGCGGAGCTGCTAGAGACGGAGGGCGACCGGGAAGCCTTGTTGCTGGCTCTGGCGGAAAGGGCGGAACGAGTCTTGCCAACCATACCCTCACATTTTGAGACATTCAGAGTTTGGAGGATTTATGACATCCCGCTAAAAATTCAGGTATCGACGAACCAAGGAGTGAGACCCCAGATGACTGCGCAAGCCGTTGCGAACATCTTTTGGGCCACGGCGAAGTTGTCTAAGTCTGGGGGTGGCAGCCTTGTGGCAGTGCTTCCAACTTTGGCCACGAGGGCCGAGGAGGTGAGGTCTGACATGAACGCGCAGCATGTCGCCAACATCATTTGGGCCATAGCGAAGCTGTCGAGTTCTGATAGCTCCGCATTCGCCTTGCTGCCGGCTCTGGTCGAGAGAGTTCAGGAGGTACGGTCGCAGCTGACCGCTCAAGGCGTGGCGAACGTCATTTGGGCCACCGCGAAGCTGTCGGATGTGGGGGAGAACTCCCTACTGGCCTCGCTGCCCATGTTGGCCGCCAGGATCCATGATGTAAGAGCTCAGCTGCATGCACAGGGGGTATCGAACATCATTTGGGCAACGGCAAAGCTGTCAGATCTGGGGGATTCCTCCTTGCTTGCCGTGCTGCCAACTTTGGGCAAGAGGATGCAAGAAGTTCTGCCTCAGATGAATGCGAGAGACTTCGCCAACATTTTCTGGGCCATGGCCACACTGTCGGAGTCTGGAGAGAGGACGCTGCTGGCATTGCTGCCATCTTTGGTTGGGCCATCCCAAGACGTGCTGTCACAACTGCCCCCCCAAGGGTTGTCAAATGTGATTTGGGCCGCTGCCAAGCTGTCGGATCATGGCGAAGACTCTCTCGTTACTTTGCTGCCTGCCCTGGTGAAGAGGGCGCAGGAAGTCAGCTCGGAGATGTCTGCCCAAGCTGCCGCCAACATCATTTGGGCCGCGGGCAAGCTGGCCGAGTCGGGAGACAGCTCCCTCGTGGCCTTACTGCCAACATTGGCAGCCAGAGTCAAGCAGCTGAGCCCGCAGATGACCGCGCAGGGCAGTGCCAACATCATCTGGGCTGCAGCCAAGCTGGCGGAGTTGGATCGCTCCCTCCTGGCCTCGTTGCCCAGTTTGGTCGGCAGAGTGCAGGAAGTGAAGACCGAGCTCGATGCGCAGCTCGTGGCCAACATCCTTTGGGCCGCGGCCTGTCTGTCGGAGCTGGGGAACTCCGCGTTGCTCCCCGCGCTGCCGACCTTGGAGAAGAGAGCGGTGGAATTGCAGTCCCAGATGAATGCGCCTCAGTCCAAAAGCGTCCCTTTGTCCTTTTGCTATTCCCTTTAGGATCCCATCAAGCAACCGTCCCTCTCCCGGAAAACCCCATCCAAAGCCGGGGGAAAAAACACAGAAATCATCCGCAACCGAGTGGTCTGGGCGAGGCGCAGGATGTGTCGAACATCATTTGGGCCACGGCCAAGCTGTGCGACTCCGCCGAAGCCGGCGGCTTTCTGCGCGCGTTGCCGATCTTGGCGGGCAGGGCCAAGGACGTTTTTTTTTCTTTTAACGCCGCACGTGTCACAGATGCCGAAGAAAGGGAGGAGAGTCACAACTTCCTCACTTGTTCTTTAGAGGTTGTTTGTGTTGGTCCTGGGGCATGCATTTTTCGGACATCCAGAGACTGCTCGACGCTTCCGGTGACAGGCCAATATAAACCATGCCGCAACTTATACCGGAACATGGGGTGCTAGTACCACTTGGTGACTTGGTGTCCACCTCTTCACGCTGGCGTGCCTATGCCCAGTGTCAAAACCGCCGAACTCCATCAATCTGCAGAGAGCAAGTTGCAGAACAAGACAATACAACACCCCAAGCAACAAACACACGCAACATAACACAAGCTTTCAACCTGTAGAGAAAGTGAGATCCAGACAAGGCCTAAACAACATACAACAAGAGACAAACACGCAAACCCTTCACCCTGCCCCACCTCCGCACTTTCTCCCAGCCCCGCGCAAGGAGGTCCGTGACATGAGGGCGCGGCATGTGGCGAACATCCTGTGGGCCAGCACACGGCTGAGCTCTCGGAACCCCTGCGGCCACTTTGGCCTGGAGCTCCAATCATCGACTCCCTTGACTTACCTCTTGACCTTGTTTCCCCCTTTTTGTGGGTGGGTTTTTTTGGCCTGAACTGGGTATTCTTTCAAGGGGAAAGGACACTTTTTGCAGGGGGGCCTAAGTCTGGTCAAGAGTTGACTGGGCGCTGGTTGCATTTGGGTCTGTAGGCTCGGTACCCTTTTCGGGGTAATTTTCTCCAAGGCCAAGCACAAGCAATCCGTTGCCATTTTGTTGTTGCCAAAAAAAGAAAACGCCAGGGAAATTTTGAGGATGTGTTCCCCATATTAGAGTTTCGGGTTTCCCTCCCAAAAAGGGATCAAAGGGGTCACATGGGTCCCTCCAAACATGGCAGTTGCGGTGGAATCCAGCAACTTTGGAAGGGAATTGCAGCCACCTCTGGCAGACTTAGGAACGATTCCCTAAATGTTGCAAGAATTGTGCAAGTAAGAGACAGGGGAAAGCCATTGACTTACATTATGGTTATTAGTTAATGGACTTGCAGCATGTAGGGACTCCACCGTAGGATGCATGCTATTTTTGTTCAGGTGACAGGACAAATCACAAAGAATAGGCTATACTTGGGTGTTTCCTAAAACAGGGGATGCGGAAAGATGGGAGGATTTCCTCTTGGTTTTCCCTTTAACTACCCTCAAAGGGCCCTTGCAGGGTTGAACAATTTGAATTGGTGCCACCTGCGAGAGGACCCAGTCTTCCCGGACCCCCGAGCACCCCCCCCGTCAGGTTGCATGTTTCTGAGAGTGCACCTAGTTTTGATGCCGGCAACACCTGATTCTTCATTGAGTCATCCCCCCTCAGTTTCAACGTGTTCCTTGAATGTGTGCTGAACTGAGGAATCTCTCAGAATGCTCGGTTCCATGTTCACCTCTTTCCAACTTTCCAAGAAAGGCCCTTGAGTTCTTCTGGCCTTTCTTGAAGAGGACCCCCTCTTGCCGTGCCGGCTGAAGTCCCCGTCGCCTTCGTCATTTCGCCGAGGCTCGGATCAGATCTTGTCTTGGGCCACCGGGCAGCTGTCGGAGCTCGAGAGCATCGCGGACTTGCTGGCCGTGAGCCGGGCCCCGAAGCCAAGCAAAGCGAAGCCGGGCTTTGGAGCAAAAAGTTCCCGACGAGCGCCGTTTTCGAACGACACACCCAGAAGTTGCTGGCTGGAGAAGCAGTCTGCGCTTGTGGCGGGACCCAACCAAGGAATGTAAGATAAAAGCTTCTGGAAACCTCAAGGAAACGAGGGGTGCTTGGTGAATTTCGCAGGGGAACTTCCTCTCTCGTGCAAGAAGCCGCGGATCTTTTCACGGACAGGTGTCACCGAGCGATGAGGCGGCGCCGGAGGCTGGCTCCCTTTTGCGCATGGGAAGGGCGATAGGCCCATCCGGGCGTTTTCACGTTCGGGAAGAGGTTGCTGTGGACCTGACTATTGAGTTGGTTGGGTTTCTTTGTTCCCTTGCCTCACTGGGCAACGAGGAAGCCGCGGGGGGCAGCTGGACTTGAGAAATGAGCTCCAAAGCAAAGTGCCGGTTGATGCTTGGGTATGTGCATGGGTGCACGGTCAATATTCAGGAGGCAAGCATGATCACAACCAAAGACACAGACACAAACAAAAGCAACAACAGCCAGTGATCAGTTGAGCCACAATCAAAACCCGGGTGGATAAAGATTAGTAAGGGATGCTCCCAGCCAGACATAGATGCGGCCGTCTTTTAATTTCCTTAGATGGATTTGGGTAGACCAATTTAACACCAGGTTTTGATTATGACTCAGCTGCTTGTGTCCCCCAATGGCTGATTGTATATTCGTATCTTGGTGTGCTGAGTTGTCTTTTATTTGTAATTGACAACGGGGGAGCATTAACTGTTACTCAGGTGAAACACATTCTTCGCATTTCCGGTATGGTCAATCTGGAGAAACCACAAACTTAAAATCTCTCCAACTTGCCCATGATGGTGGGAAAGGTCTTATGTTTTGACCGTGACTCAAGTGTCAAACAGGATCCCCTTTTCACCCGATTTGGTATGTATCAAAAACTGCCTTTCTCAACGTGAAGCAGCAAACCAACGCTACACCAACCATTCGGATGATTCCCGGTTTTGACATTTGCAATAGTGTTTGATGGATTGCGGCAGTCGCCCGTGATTACTGTTGAAATCCACGTCCAAAATCAGAAGCTGTTGTCAAGGTCAATTGGGTTGGTTGAACCGTCTCCAAATTTGCCGAAGGGATTCCTATGACAGTAATACTATAGCGAGATTTTTTTTTGCCACACAGACATACCCAAGCCATTTCGCCGACACGGGCTAGATGTCTGTGCAAAGGGTGGATACGAAGTGACCGTCTAGCCCTGGAGTTTCAATCCATGAGCCTAAGCCGTGGGCTCAAGTAGTTCTGACGCAGCCGGCTGGAGCTCATTTGTGTTGTCTTTCCGGGAAAGGGGAGAGGCAAAGGATGACAAGTCGAGTTTTTGGTAAAAGGAGGGCTGCCACTTTCCAAGGGCGGATGTCCATTTCTCCCGCTTGAAAAAGTAAGCAAGTCAATCTATATGCACATATACGCACACAGTATATCTATCAGGAGTTCCCACGTCAGGCTTCGGCTAGTGGCAAGCCTGTCACTTTGCCACTCCTTGGGCAGGCCATCGCTGTTCCTTCAGAGGCGCAGCACTTGGGGCGTGGAATCAAGCAGGGCTCACAATGTGTATCCTTCGAATATAGTGGGTATGAATCCAGATGTCAGTTTGGGCATCAAACAGTCATTCGCAACTTTTTGTTTTGTGAAACAGCAATTTGCAGCCTTTCTAATTTGTAGGTTTTCCAGTAGTTGGCTTCTAGGAGAGTCAGTTCGCAGCCGGTCACGAACTGCCAAGCACCAATCAAGCACCAACCAAGCACCAACCAAGCCAGCAGCACATTGATAAAGAACAGTTTGCCTAAGGCCAGGGCCAATCAATTAACATCTCTTTCCATGGACTTTACCCAGTCGCTCAGCTTGTCTCTTCTGGAGCCTTGCGGTTCTTTCTGTTTAGCCCCTGGCATTGAAGGCGTGGGATCCCCAATAGCCCTGTACAAAATGGGAACTCTGAGCCTGGCATAGAACCTACAACACATGGTACGTTCTTTTGCCTTGAGACCCTCTGCCCCTTGGGCTTATCTTTTGCAACGGACACCTGAAAGACTGGCTGGTGCTCGGAGGTTTCCCATGTGCTTTGCTTGCCCCTTGGGAAAATGGCCTGTCAGTTGCTCGCAACCACAAAACCAAGCACAAGCAAGCAAGCAGAATCCGATCACGAGGAACCGATAAGCTGTATCACCATCAACAAAGGAGATATGCATGTGCAATTAATGATGCTCATGCACGATAGCAAGAGGTACTGCTCTTCTCTCTTGGATCTTGGAAGAGTCTCACTGTCTTACGTTTTCTTCATTCAGTTTGCATCTTCTCAGGGTAGGATCTCACTTCAACTTTGCGGACCTTTTGGATTAGCAGGGAACACACAACTCCATCTTGCTTCAGTCCGGAAGAGGTGCCTTTGCGCCGGGCTCTGGAAGGCTGTTGTTTTCTTAGTTTGTCTGTATGCCGATTGCATGATTGGATTGGCTTGTCCGAAACAGAGGCTTCACTCTTTGAGAGTAGGCTTCCTGCCGGTGGGCATCACAGTACCTAGTTTGTGGGTCGTTTGGGTGATGGCGTGTGAGCAACGTCAAAAACTCCTGTATTGCCTGGTTCAATATGGATTATAGTAATCCCTATAAAATCTGTAGAGCCGTGTTGAGTGCACTGCTTGCATGACTCACAACTGTCCACCAAAGGGTCCCCATCAACATTGAGACCCAAGAAAAACCACCACCTGCATTTGGACTGATCCGAAGTCTAAGTCAGCTTCCTCTGGCGGTTTGGATTGGGGACTGGGGAGCCCTTAAACCACCAAACCGGGGCTCCAAACCACCAATCGGAGGGAAGCTGAAGGGGACGCTTCAAAAAGGGCTCCTGCCGACCTCCCATTGGCAACTTGGAAGCGGGCAGAGTAAACGCTGGACAGGGCTTCGTCAAGAGGGTCGACAGGCTGTGAGCAGTTTCCCCCCCCTCATGACGCCACTTAGAGTGAACTTTGCAACCACATTTTTCGGGTATTGGTTTTTAGATTTCCCCCAGTGGACACTTTGCTTGTGTTTGTTGTCCGAAACAACATCAAAACGGAGCAACCGCAACTCGCATCCATCGCCCCTCATCGCCCCCCCTCCTTCCAGCGCCAGGCTGAGATGTGTGCGGACCTGCCGGAGCTAGAGGCTCCGGGGCAGGATCTGTCCGGATGCTGGGACGTGGGGAGACCATCCCCGCATGCTCAGGTTTGTCATGGGCACTCCCGACTGCTGTGTTGGTGATGGGATGTTGCACAAAAGAACCGGAGTGATGATGCAAGCGCCAGCTCCTCATCTCAAACAGTGAGCAAGTGCGCCATGCTGATCAACCATCACCCTCCCAAAAGGGGGCCCAAAAGGGCGTGTCGGTTCTGTTTCTTTCTTTTTTTCTTTCACATGACCACTGAGCGAAGCCTGGAGGCTCAATGCCGGATTTTGAGTATGGCTCACTTGTGAGAAACTGGGGTTGACCCCTGACAAAAGATGACTGTTTGCTCAAAGGCACACCAAGGACAAGATGTCAGGATCTCGTTTGTGATTTGGGCACAATGCTCGTTCAGGAGTGAGGCATCTCAATCTTTTTGAAAATTTTTATTTGGAGGACCGGGCTCTGGGCACCCAATTGATTAAACACGGTTAATATCCAGGATATATTTTGTTCCCCTGTTGGTTTAAAAGGAATCTATCACAAGTGTAACATTTCCATTTTGTTCAGGGACCTAAGCAAATGGATGTCCACTGGTATTGAAACATCGTCGAGGCTTCCCTGCCAGGTTTCCCGAGGCTTCTGACTCACAGCGGGGGTGCTAAATGACCCATGCTGATCTTGCCCCAAATGAAGCTAGGCATGGATATTCGCATTTTTCCGGACCAGTAAAAACCATGTATTTCACCCCCTTGTTCTTTTTTTTGCCACACCCCACAGGTGTCTTTGGCAAATGCCGTTTCTCTCTTGAGCGGTGTGACGCAGGTCGCTATGTCAGGATGTATTGATACTACTATCAATACTCGCCTAGGATGTAGGGTTAAAGATTTCCAGAAGCCGACCCTGGAATGACGTATTGGTTCTATTGATGACCCCCGCTTCGTGTGGACATAGATGTGGCAGATGTGATTTATGTCAGATATATGTTCAAAGTCTAAAAACGGCAGATACTCTTTGGACCCCATAAGTAGCAAGTACAAGTGGTGTCTGTCAGGGGCGTATACGGGTCGCTGGTGGTTTGTGGTTCGGCAAAAGATGATTTGTTCATCCTTATTGCAGCCTAGCAGTCCTTGTACATCCCCCTTTTACACCCTCCCTTGTACAAGGTTTTGCATGCCGGCTTGCTGATCTCTTCCCAAAAAGACATACACGCACATCAAGTGGGTTGGGAAGGAGATCATTCACTCTACCATGCATATGAACTTTAAGAGCCTTTTGCTTTAGTTTTGCTTTTGCCCCTTTTTTGGTATTCTTTTTGGGCCTAAAAGCCTCAGGAACCGGCACGAGCAACAGACGCAGGTGCCTGAGCCGCGGCCGGGCCGCAACATGGCCAGCGCGCCAAGGTTTGCTCGAGGTAGATGGGATGGATGGACGAATTCCGGAAAGCGCATCAGATGGGATGGCCGAAACACGCGGGAGAAACGAACCGGCGACCTTGGATCATTTGCCCATGCTGTCCTCGGGAGTGTTCTGAAAGCCACAGGTCTAGGAACACACAGGCCAATCAAACAACGAGCACTCAAGCAAGCGCAAGCGGGCATTGCCGTTCCATCGAGTCAAATATCACACGACATGTTCTTGGCCTTAGTTGTTCATCTATTACCTAGGCTCAAGAGCCGAGCAACTTTCCAGCGCTCTGTGAGGGGAAGCCCCTGGAAAAAGGCTAGATGAAGAAGAAGCGTTTGTGAGCCGCCCTTTTTGACGGCTCCTTTTGGAGTCGTGTGGAGTGTTTCAAGTAACGAGCAAGACTGGGAAGTTGACACATCCCCAAGTGCCTACGAGAGGAACTTATCACCAAGCTTCTGGAGGGGTCGTTTCCTTGTGTCTCGAGCCAGTGCGAGTCAAACCAGAAAGGCCGTTTGGTGAATTTTGGCGTTCCTTGTTTACTTGTACGGAAGGACATGGTTTTGCTTCCAAAGGATTTTCGTAGCCAGGGATTCACTGAACTCCAGGTTCCACTTATCTTGGCTCTGAAGGTTAT